GGATCAGCTGGTAGATTCTGTGTGCCTTTTGGGATGGCAGCGCAGCTCCTTACCACAAAGTTTGTCATAGGCAGTCGTAATTCCCTAAATCCTTGTCTGTTTTATCTTCTCATGTTCTTTTGAAGTAAATTCTGGACAGCATATCATTTCTACCTTAAATATTCAAAACTCAGATTTTTAATGCTATTCTAAAATTTGATCATGCTTTATAGCATTGATACATTTCCTTTGAATTTACTGAACTGCTGTGGTGCGCAAACTTTACACTGTTCTCATAAAGACAAATACTATATAAGACCATTATTGTAGAGCATGTACGAGGATCCAAGGAAGGGGGAGGCTTAAATATAGGGTTGCACAATTTGAGGGAGGGATTAGTAAAGGAAAGGGGAAAGGTCTGGTGTGAAAAGCAATGTATATGAACTTTATAAACTTTCTAAACCAGTACAAAATAAAATTTTTTTTAAACTGGAAAATGTGATGGTGCAGTGGTTAAATGCTCAAGTGCTAACTGGTAATGTTGATGGTTTGAACCCGTCAGCCATTCTGTGGGAGAAAGCTGTAACCATCTACTTCATAAAGGTGACAGCTTTTGGATTCCTGTAGGGCCATGCCACTGTCTGTAGACTTGCTGTGGGGCAGTTGCTTTGGTTGGTTTACATCCACATGAATGTGCCTTTCGCTTTCCACTCCATACTTATGTGTAGTATAATCTAATTTGCATTTTACCTTTTTTAGATCACATTATATCCTGAGTCTTATTACTTAGCAGGACAGGTGAATTTGTAACTGCAAGCCAGTGGAGGAAAATCCTAGAGTAAGCTCTCTGGACTGGTACTAATAATAATTGGTAGTTTGAGGTGTATCATAACTTTTCTTTATGAAACATGGATCTTTTTTAGAGGGGGGAAAAGGTTTCAGAACACTGAAGCCATCCATAGATTGTATTTTTCGTGTACTATACAGTAAAAGTTTAAGTTCAGTACAACTAAACTTAAGAGACACTGGTCACAGAATAAAAAATTGTCAGCAGTTGACGTGTTTGGAATCACAGAAGCCAAGAAAGCTTCAGATAAAAGCTGTCAGATCATGGGTTTGAACAATGAGAGATAAATTCTGAAGGGATTTGGTAGAAGTGAAGGGGTATCCTGGTGGAGGGTGGAGCTGGGAAATAAGTGGGTCAAGGCACTGGGCTAAGGGCAGGGACAACACTGTAACTAATGGTTAACTCCACAATGAGGGATTTACCTTTCAGTGCTCCACAAATTGCTTGTCTGTCAGATACTCCTTTAAATCTAAACATTCTGATTAAGACAGACTAGGAAGAAGGATTGGTCATCCACTTCTGAAATAGCAGGCCTCTGAAAACCCTATGTACAACAGAATACACGTAAACTAACAGAAAGGGCAACCTAGGTAGAACTTTCAAGTATGAAAATAAAAAGGAAGAGGAACAGTTATAAGCAGACACTAGTGATTGGAACATGGAATGTGAGAAACATGAATGTAGGAAAATAAGAAATTGTTAAGAAAGAATGCATAAATATTGACATATTT